TGATCTTAGAAGGCAGAATACTAGCAACGAGGGGAATAGGGGAGGAGGGAGAGTAGATAAATAATAATTTACTAGGAATTCATAATAAATATGAATTGGCTTCATTACTTCCCCTTTAATAGTTCTGATTTGGGCTTGCAAAAATTTAAAAACATAATATTATGTGTACTACCTAATTCTCTCTACTTCTTTTATTGTCTTGCACAACCTTCTTTGGATTGCATAATGTATTTACTGACATACCCACTAGCTGACAGTGACACACTGTGTAGCTATTTTCCCATGTATAAGTACTCAGGCATTCCTGCTCTCTATTTCAGAGACACTCAATCTCAGCCATGGTTACTTCTTGCTTTCCTATCTGTGTGATGGCTTTGGCAGCCTGTGTCCTCCATGCTGGTGCCATAGATACGTTCATTGCCGCTGTATATGAACATGCTGTTATACTGCCAAATAGGACAGAAACACCTGTTTCCCAGGACGATGCCCTGATGTTGATGAACAAGAACTTGGATATTTTGGAGAAAGCAATCAAACTGGCTGCTGAGAAGGTATGGTTTCTTGATGGGCAAGATGTTGGGGCATAAAGAAGTTGAAGGGCTATGTGCTTTTGTTTATATTGAGAAACTGCTTTGGTTTTTACCTGATGTGGTAGAGATAGAAAGAATGTTGAATTGATAATCAGAGGGTTTTGGGTTAAAATCCAGACTCTATCATTGGGAAAGTCATTTAACATCTTGGGACTATTCTGGTTTTTGAGAAGGTTGGATCAAGTGATCCTTTGTAGAGATTTGAACCCAACTTTGATTCTTGAGAACTGGGTTTGAGTTCTCCAATTAACAGTCTATATAACCTAGGACAAATCATTGACTCTCTAGGCCTCTGCCTTTTTCTTATGATGAACTGTATATTTCTGTATCTAACATTCTATAATTCCATTTTTTTGAGCAGGGTGCAAAAATTATTGTAACTCCTGAAGATGGAATTTATGGCTGGGCTTTCACAAGGGAAACCATTTACCCCTACCTAGAAGACATCCCAGACCCTCAAGTGAACTGGATTCCATGCACTGAACCAAGCAGGTATTTTAATTATTGTTACTGTCTATATAAAGAAGATAGGGTTCTGTAAAAATGTACAGTATCTTTAAAGTGAATTTATTAATTATAGTTATACTGGAAGACCTGGGTTCAAGTCTTGCCTCTGACACTTATTGGCTATGTGACTCTGTCCTAGTCATTGAACATCTCCATGCCCCCAGCAACTAAGACTATAAGACCATAAGTATATGCCAATCTGTGCTAGTAGAGGGAGTCTTTTAACTGGGAGTTCCTTATACTGTAGTAATCACAGGTCCAGTACCATTCCAAAATATTTATATGTAATAAATTATAAATGAAAGAGAGAAAGTATGGTATACTAGATGGAAAGGTATCATTGGAATCAGAAAGACTTGGTTTTGTCCTGCTGCTGACTCATACTAGCAGAATGCCCATGGAACATTTAACACTACTCTCTCTAACCCCGTACCCAAGCAGTTCCCTAACTTTGTTACAGATGAGTTGAGATGCTGGAATCTATACCAGTGGACTCCATACCTATCATTGGTTCACTCCACCAATGAAACATAGTTCCAAACCCTCAAAAAATTAATTTAAAATATGCAAAATCTGTAATATCTGTGTAATAGGATGCTGCAATCCCTATGTATCACAAGATGGAGTAGCTTTCTTCTTCCAGAATTCACCAAAAATATAGACCCTGAAAGCCAAGTTCAAAATATATTACCACACTGGTGAACTCTAAAATAGCTTCTACTTGAATCTTTCACTTCCATAGCAGTGCTGTCTGGGCTGGGAGTTTAAGAAAACAGGCTTTATCACACGAGAGCTTGCAGCCACAGTGAATGGGAACCCTCCTTACAGTTCCAGCGCAAAAAAAGAGTGTTTGTGGTCACTCATAGAGCAGAGCACAAGCCAGGAGAGTAGTAAACACCCTTCTCCTTGTAACATACCACCTTGAACTATGCCCAAAGGGCTATAAAAATGTGCATACCCTGTGACCCAGCAATAGCACTTCTAGGGCTGTATCCCAAAGAGATCACAAAAATAGGAAAAGGACCCACATGTACAAAAATATTTACAGCAGCTCTTTTTGTGGTGGCCAAGAATTGGAAATTGAGGGGATGCTTATCAATTGGAGAATGGCTAAACAAGTTGTGGTATATGAATATGATGGAATACTATTGTGCTATAAGAAATGATGAGCAAGCAGACTTTAGAAAAACCTGGGAAGACTTGTATGAACTGATGCTAAGTGAAGTGAGCAGAACCAGAAGAGTATTGTACATAGTAACAGCCATGTTGTACGATGACTAACTTTGATAGACTTAGCTCTTCTCAGCAATGCAAGGATCTAAAAGTCTCCAAAAAGTATCATGATGGAAAATGCTATCCACATCTATAGAAGGAACTATTGAGCTTGAATGCAGGTCAAAGCATATTATTTACTCTTTTATTTCCTTCTGTTTTGTTTTGTTTCTTCTTTCTTGTGGCTCCTTCTAGTGGTTTTAATTCTTCTTTACAACATGACTAATGTGAAAATATGTTTAATAGGAATGTGTATGGAAAGCCTATATCAGATTGCATGCTGTCTTGGGGAGAGAAGTTGGGAGGGAGGGGGAGAAAATTTAAAACTCAAAAGCATATGGAAGTGAAAGTTGAAAACTAAAAATAAATTAATATTTTAAAAAAGAAAGAAATAAAAGAGATGGAGATGGATAGCAAAGGGGAGAGTATGGCTCTAAAGTATTTGAGGAGGGAAGGGTGGAGGGAGGCAACGTTTGTATTTTTTTCTTGCTATGTCTTTGAAATACGTGTCCCTTTTGTAAAAACCAAACAAAACAAATACCATCTTGGAAGAACTGAAAACTTACAGGTCCTTAGAAGTATCTCTGAAAATAGCTACATAAAACACCTGAAGCTTGAGACAGTGTGCCCTCCACCCTGCAACCAGAGTCCTACTTTAACAAAGAGTTAAAAGCCAAGTAATAGGCTTAGAATATGAGCAAACAACAGAAAAATTCTGACCATAGAAAGTTACTGCAGTGACAAAGAATATCAAAACACTCAAAAGACAATAACAAAGTCAAAGCTCCTATATCCAAAGCCTCCAAAAAAAATATTAATTGGTCTCAGGCCATGGAAGAGCTTAAAAAGGATTCTGAAAATCAAGTAAGAGAGGTAGAGGAAAATTTGGGAAAAGAAATGAGAGTGAGGCAAGAAAATAATGAAAAGTGAGTCAACAGCTTGGTAAAGGACAAACATACACACAAACTGAAGAAAATAACACCTTAAAATCAGACTAGGACAAATGATAAAAGAGGAAAAGAATGCCTTAAAAAGCAGAATTGGCCAAATGGAAGAGGCACAAAAATTCACTGAAGAAAAAGTTCCATAAAAAGTAGAATTGGCCAAATGGAAAAGTAGGTACCAAAGCTCACTGACAAAAATAATTCATTAAAAATTAGAATTGAGCAAATGGGAGCTAATGACTTTATGCAAAATCAAGAAACTGTAAAACAAAACCAAAAGAATACAAAAAAAGTGAACATAATGTGAAAGATCTCATTGTCCAACTGACCTGGACAATAGATCCAGGAGAAATAATTGGAAAAAAAATTGTACTACCTGAAAGCCATGATCAGAAAAAGAGCCTAGACCTCATCTTTCAAGAACTTATCAAAGATAACTGCCTCCAAATTCTAAAACCAGAGGATAAAATAGAAATTGAAAGAGTCTAGCAATCACTTCGTGAAAGAGATCCCAAAAGGAAAACTCCCAGGAATATAGCCAAATTCCAGAGCTCCAAGGTCAAAGAGAAAATATTGCAAGTAGTCAGAAAGAAACAATTCAAGTATCATGGAGGCACAGTCAGGATAAGACAAGATTTAGCAGCTTTTACAGTAAAGGATCCAAGGGCTTGGAATATGATATTCCAGAGGACAAAGGAGCTAGGGTTATAACCAAGAATCACCGACTGAACAAAACTGACTATAATCCTTCGGGGGGAAAATGGACATTCAGTGAAATAGAGGACTTTCAAGCATTCTTGATGAAAAGACCAGAGCTGAACAGAAAATGTGACTATCAAATACAAGACTCAAAAGAAGCATAAAAAGGTAAACAGGAAAAGGAAATTAGAAGGGACTTAATAAGGTTAAATTGTTTACATTCCTACATGGAAAGATGATACTTGTAACTCATAAGAAGGACGTTCTCATTATTAGGATACATAGAAGGAATATACATACACACATACACACACACACACACACACACATATATACATACAGATATAAAAATATACACATATACATATATGTATGTGTGTCTATAGATATACATGTTATGTATATATGTATATAGATCAGTTCACAACTCCACCAACAGTGCATTAATGCCTCTATATCTGTCTATATAGATATGTCTATCTATCTATCTATCTATTTAGATATAGCTATATCTACATATATTTGTGTGTGTATGTGTGTACACACACACAGAGGGCACAGGTGTGAGTTGAATATGAAGGGATGATACTGAAAAACATAAAATGCCAAACCAAATGAAAATCAAAGTCTAGAACTACCAACAGGGGAGAGATTCAGTGATAGTTGCATAACCTTAACCCTCTGTGTTGGCCTCTGAACATAAAATTCACTGGCCGTTGCAATTTTGTTTTCCAGACTAAGTTGCAATGACAGTACTCAGCTGATTGTTGGAGCCTTTCCCAGTGCAGAAAGCAGGCACTGTATACTTTAGCCATGATTCAAGAGGACTCATGGTCCTGAATTTTTCTCATTTCCCCTAACTTGATAACGCAGAAAGCTGATATGACTGATATAACTGAATGCTGATAATAATTATCTACAATTATATAAGGTATTAACAGTAACAAAGCATTTACTTATGTTATTTCATTAGATCATCAAAACAAACCTGTGAGGTAAGCAATACAAGTGTTATTATCCTCATTTTATAGATGAAAAAATGGACAAAGAGTGAAGGGAATTTTCTATAGTCACACCCATGTAAGTGAAAGAGCCAGGATATGAATCCAAGTCTTCTGACTCAAAATCCAATTCTCTTGCTACATCATTCTGTGCATTATTTAATCTGAAAGAGAAAGGTAGGAGGGAGATTTGATTAAGAGGTGAGAGAGGAATGTACTGGGAGAAAGGGAAAGGGTGAGGTATAAGGGCATAGATTATCTCACATAAAAGAGGCAAGAAAAAGATTTTACAGTGGAGGAGAAGAGTGGCGAGATGAGGGGGAGTGAGCGAACCTTACTCTCATCAGAGTTGGCTCATCATAACTCCTTCAGAGTTGTCTTGGATCATTGTATTGCTGAGAATAGCCAAGTCATTCACATCTGATCATCTTACAATATTGTTGTTACTTTGTACGTAGTACATTTCACTTTGCATCAGGCCATGCAACCCTCCAGTTTTTTCTCAGAGCACCCCATTTCCTATAATACAGTAGTATTCCGTTATAATCACATACCACAATTTGTTCAGCCATCACTCCCCAAACGATGGCCATCTCCTCAATTTCCAATTCTTTTCCCTCAGAAAGAGCTGTTATAAATACTTTTTCCTTTTTCCTTTTTATCTCTTTTGACATACAGACCTAGTAGTGGTCTTGCTATATCAAAGGATCTACATGGTTTTATGGCCTTTTGGGCATAGTTCCAAATTGCTCTACAGAATGGTTGGATCAGTTCACAGCTCCATCAACAGTGCATTAATGCCTCATTTTTTCTCCTACATGCCCTCCACCATTAGTAATTTTCCATTTCTGTCCTATTAGCCAATCTAATAGGTATGAGATAGTGTACCTCAGAATTGTTTTAATTTGCATTTGTCCTATCAATAGTAAGTTAGAGCATTTTTTCATGTGGCTATAGATAGCTTTGGTTACTTTATCTGAAAACTGTTCATATCTTTTGATCATTTATCAACTGGGGAATGGCTCTTATTTTTATAAATTTGACTCAGTTCTTCATATGTTTAAGAATAAGGCCTTTATCAAAGAAACTTGCTTCAAAAACTCTTTTTTCCACAGTTAATATTGCTTACTGTATTTCCCTCGATCCTATTTCCCCTCTCTGTTCATTTTATTCTCTGTCTCCTTTCACCTTATTCCTCCTCAAAAGTGTTTTGCTTCTGACTACCACCTCCCCCAATCTGCCCTCTCTTCTATCACCTACCATTCTCTTATTCTCTTCCCTTCCTACTTTCCTATAGGGTAAGCTAGATTTCTATACCCAACTGAGTGTATATATTATGCCCTCATCTTCTCATGTCTAGACTATTATAATAGCCTGCTGGTTGTTCTGCCTGCTTCAAGTTTCTCCCTACTCCAGCCTATCTTCCATTCAGCTACCAGAGTGATTTTCCTAAAGCGAGAGTTCAACTAGGTTATCCCCACAACATAATATCACCTGTTTCTGGGAACAAGGTAATCTGCTGGCCTGGAGCATCTAGGCAGTTAAACTAAAGGATTGCATTATAAAGAAGAATTACTGTATAAAGAATGCTATACAACTCTTCCTAAGTTCTAATGAGAAGAGCTTATTTAGGGAAAAAATAGTGTTCAAAGAAGGATTTAAAGGTAGCTTGGAGTAGAGGAAAAAATGCTAGAGTTCAAATTTTGGCCTTAATGTCGACTACTTGAGAGTCCTTCGGCATGTCACCTAAATTCTCTGAAATGTTTTCTCATTTGCAAAATGAATGAGGCAGGTTTGAAGGCATCTTCCCATTCTAAATCTACTAAATATCTTTTAAGTAAGGACCAGAGGACTCAAGAGGGGCAAAGCAAAATTTCAGAGTCAGAAGGAAATTAATTAGTGATCATGTTGTCCAAGACTCCCCTCTACAACATATCTGCCAGAAATGATTCAGCTTTAATATGTATCTAAGTGTAAAGCAACATGGTGCAGTGGACAGAGTTTTGGACTTCAAGTCAGGAAAACCTGGGTTCAAATCCTGTCTCAGATACCTACTAGGAAAGTCAGTTGCCCTTTTTGAGCTTCATTCTCATCTGTAAAATGAGGGAATGAATCTTAGGGGGCCTTTTGCCTTCCCTTCCAGCTCTTAATCTATTGTGATCTGATGGTCCTTAGAAGGAAGCAGTAATTACAAAGTGCTTCATCAAGAGAAAGTTATGCCAGAATTGCCTTATTATTATTTTGAAACTAGATTGATAGATCAGGAGAGTACTCTGAATATAACTTACAAAGATTTTAGCAAAGCTTTTGACAAAGCAATTCTTGTGGAAGGATAGACAGATGTGGGCTAAAGGGTAGTAGTACCATTAGATGGATTTGAAGATGATTGAATGGCTGGACTCAAAGAGTAGTTATTAATAGTTTAATGTTAGCTTGAAAAAGAGGTCTTTTATCGTGTTTCTCAGGGATATGTTAATATTCAACAATTGATAAACAGTTATTAACTACTATGTACCAGGTACTGTACTAAGGGGTGGGGATACAAATATGAAAAAAGAAAGATAGTTCCTGCCCTCAAGGTGCTTACAATCTAATGGGGGAAAGACTACACGTGGAAGGAAGTTGAAAAGATCATGGAGGGGAGTGGATGGCGTGGGACATGAAAGCATGATAGAGAAATTAGAAAGTGAGAAAAGTAGTACATCCAGGACATGTGTTTAATATCCTGTTCCGTTCAATACTTTTATCAATGATTTGGATAAAGGCATAGATGGAATAATTATCATTCAGATAGTTTAAAGCTGTGAGATATAGCTATTATATTGTCAGGATACTAAAATATCTTGACAGTTTAGAGCACTGGGATTAATTTAATAAGGTTAATTTTTTAAAAATGATTTTTTTATCATAAACTTAAATAGCAATGAACATGACAATATGGAATTTAGTAAAGATCAGTGTAAAGTTTTGCATTAGGATTAAAAAAAATCAACTTCACAAGTATAAAATGGGGGAATAATGGCTAGACAGAAGTTTTGCTGAAATAAAATCTGGGAGTTTTAATGAATTACAACCTTTCAAGCAATCAGCATCATGATGGGCAGCACAAAACCCCCCAAAACCTAATGTTCTCTTATGCTACAATAAGAGAGGGGTTCAGAATTAGAGAGGAAAAAAACACTTAGGGGGTACATGATATGGCTGCCTTTAAATTTTTGAAGGTCTGTCATATGGAAAAGAATTATTAAATTGACTTTGCTTGGACCAGAGGACAGAATTGGGAGCAACAGGTGGAAGATGTGAAGGTGCAGATTTAGGATGGATGTCAGAAAAGACTTCCAAACAATTAGAACTCTTAAAAAATGAAATGTGTCAGGAGGAAGGAGGCTGTACCTCACTGGATACCTTCAAGTTGGATGACTAATTAATGGGTATGTGATAGAAGAGAATGTTGTTCAAGAAGTTGGATTGTGTGTTCTCTGAGGTCCCCTTTACCTCTCAGATTCATCACTCTATGATAATAGCTTATTGATTTTTAGAGGGGTTTGGGAGAAAGCTCAAGCAAGTCACTACTTTCACTCTGCCATCTTGGCACCCCCCAACCCCAGCTTATTGATTTTTAAGAGAATTGGGGCCATAATGAAGAGGGATGATCTGGGGCATTTATGCTATTTTGCTAGATCTTAGATCAGCACAAAATGAATCAGAACAAAAACATTTAACTTGGACCAACATCATGTACCTATTCTGTGATAAAGCCAGGACTAGAATTCAAGTTTCAGGCCTTCCAATCTCCCTCTGGCTCTCACCAGAATACAAGGCTTTCGTAGTGATGATGGCTATGAAGAACAATTTATTCTGTTTCCTGGTCTTCTAACCTGTAATACATGATGCAAATTTGATTTGTAGGTTTTGGACAGATTATTTAGACATGAAAAAAAAATACTTTCAACTCTGTACCATAGCTGAAATTCCAGACCTTACCTTTGGTTGCCTGCATGGTCCATAGTAAGAGAAAATGCTGTTTATCTTTTCACCTAAAAAAACAAACAGACTAACACATTTCATTTCAGTTCTACCTGGTTACTCTCCACTGTATCACTCTTGGGTTATTAAAGTAGATTATAATTAGTGGAAAGGTAAGTGTCAATAAGAGCTTTTAGGATAGTTTTCATATTATCATGGATTTAGAGTTGGAAGGCTCTGAGAGAGGTTGTGATGTATTTTCCAATATATTCTCCACTAACTTAGGTGACTCTTAGGTTGTTAAGCTATAATACTTTGCATTCAGGATCACCAAACAATTATTTATAGAAACACCTGTTGAATTCAAACTTGAACTAGATTTGGCCGTGCACCAGTGCAAACAAGACTCAGCTGCTTGGCCAGAAAGAACTCTATCTATGTAGTGGCAAATATGGGAGACAAGAAAGAATGTGATGCCAATGACTCCAAGTGCCCACCAGATGGCCGGTACCAATACAACACTGATGTGGTGTTTGATTCGGAAGGGAAACTGGTGGCCCGATACCATAAGGTGAGGAGTAATTTTGTACAGCAAAATAATGAACATTCATTTCTTATTGATTAAATTCCATATTTGAAAGAGATAAAGGTTAAACTCTGTATAGCATCATGCAAGGGCTCTGATTATTGATAAGAAAGAATCTGGGAGATACTTAAATTGGGTTTAATAATAGGATTTCTGGGCTTTTTGTAACCTATGGAAAGGAAATAGAACTACTGTACTACATAGGACACCCCATCCAATAGCTTTAAGACAGTATAACCCAAAGTGAAAACCAGCCAATCTCTGCATTATTCAGACTTCCCCTCCCCTAAAAAAAAATCTCAGGTGTTGATTAAAAGAAGGACTTATTGACTGAAATCAGTCTTATTGACTGTCAGTGTTGGCTTTCTGATTGGCATAAGCATAGTAAAGCACTAGCATTAATGCTATCTTCATGCTTCTTATAGTAGACAGTGCTTTATAATGAGGAAACATGAAGAGTAAAGGGAACCAGTTAGCTTCACAAAATTCTAACTCGCTTTTTCCATGCCAGGAGCAAACTTTGTAAAATCAATTTGAGGCAAACTCCATAAAATGTGTACCTGGGAGAAACAGCATGAAAACATGATCAAATCAGTTTTGAATACAAATTCAATTTTGAATTGGGAGACAAAGGCCCTAAGACACAACAAGACCACTCTACTTTTTGATATTGGGTGAAGGGGAGGAGTTTCCCTGTCAGAAGAGTCATGTAATCTGGTCACTTCCTATTTTAAGTAATAATTCTCGCAAATTTTATACTAAATGCAGTGGTTTCTAAGCTTCTAAAGGAGCGTAAATGCTGTCAGTACCCTCTAGTCTTTAGCATACTGGGCCAAAGACTTGATTGCCTAGCCTGGGGGAGGGGAGCTAGGGCCTCGAGGCCACATGTGGCCCTCTATAAGTCCTCAAGTGAGGCCCTTTGAATAAATAAATCCAAACTTCTCAGAACAAATTCCTTAAATAAAAGGATTTGTTCTATAAGACTTGGACTCAGTCAAAAGGCCACACTCAAGGGCCTAGAAGGCCACATGTAGCACCCCTGGGCCCTAGACTCAGTTGCTAGACTAAAGAGTAATGAAATTTAAGATTTGAACATGAACAACTTTGAAGAGGAATGAAATAAATGGTTGGACCTATGCTTGCCTTGTCAACTGGGGGCAGGATGGATTGAAATAGGGATACACTTGAGTCAGGGAGACTAAGCAGAAGGCTACTGCAATAATCCAGGTATAAAGTGGTGAGGGCCTTCAGTGTGGAGGCAGTGTGAATGGAGAGAAGGGGACTTACACAAGAGACATAGGTGGAAATGTCTGTGTAAGATAAAGATATAAGAGATAAAGGTAGAAGGGCTGAAATTCATATAGACAGGGGAAATACCAGGTAAAATTTCCTCACATTAGTGTACATCAGCTTTATGAAACTCTCTTGACCCATGTATGAAGGAAGCATTCATATATTGAATGCATACATATTTAGTAGATTGCTTCTAATTGTCTTTTTCTCCCTTTCATTACTAGTACAATCTCTTTCTAACTGAAGTGCAGTTCAACTTCCCTGAAGATCCATCGTATGTGACCTTTGATACACCCTTTGGAAAGTTTGGCATTTTCACTTGCTTTGACATATTGTATTATGATCCTGCTGTAGTCTTGGTGGATAAATTCCAAGTGGACAGCATACTATTCCTCACAGGCTGGATGAACACTTTGCCCCTCTTGTCTGCTGTTCCATTCCATTCATCCTGGGCTAGGGGCATGAGAATCAATGTCCTTGCAGCAAATCTTCACAACACCAGCATGCACATGACAGGTAATTTAAGATCTTTCTTATTTCATTCCCTAATACTCAACCATTAACTTTTCAGACTTGTTAACTCTACTGATTATAGCATTTATGCTTTGTAACAATTTATGCTTAGGCAATGAAGGATTCCTCCATCAGATGAGGGAATTTAAGCTCATCAAAATTAAACAATTTGCTCGAAGCCATAGGATAACTAATATTTTCATGCCAGATTATTTTCTAGTCTTTTGCTTAAACTTTTTTAAAAAATTACGATAAGTTATGATTAAAATAACTAGCAAGTTATCAACATAGTGAATAATATCTGTCTAGTACTGTATAATGCATTCAATATACTTAGATGGAAAAGGTTCTGGGTAGGAATGAGTCCCACCTCTACCATTAACTACTTACATAATCTTGGGGAGGTATCAATCCTTAGCTTCTTCATCTTTAAAATGAGGAGAATAATACTTGTGCTATCTATTTCTTATCTCAGGGTTGTTAACATGGATTCAATGAGAGATATTCTAGCGCTTACTAAATCATAAAGTGCTATGTAAATAAAATAACTCATGCTTTTTCATATATTATTCCAATTCTTGAAGGATTAGTGGCTTTATCTATGCTATTACTCCCTTTAGTAATGTAAATAGCAACTCTCTTATGTGTATTCTAATCCTGGTATCTTCCATATGTATTGTTCCCATTAGAATGTGAGTTCTTTCAGAGCAGGGATTTTACATTTCTATTTCACCGTATTTAGCATAGTACTTTGTACATAGTAAGTGCTTAATAAATGTTTCATTCATTCATTCATTCATTCATCAGCAGTTTCAGTTGAACCAAACTTCTAGTGTTAAGGCACTCTTTATTTAACTAGATTGGTCCTTGGATAACAGACATACCATAAAATGACTATTATAAACTAGAATTTTCTCCAAAGTCCCTATACTGACCCTGTTTCTTTTTCCAGTTTTTAATAGCTCACAATTCTACAGTGCTTTAAAATGTAGAATGCACTTTCCACACTGCTGTGTGATCCTTGGCAAGTCATTTAATCCTTATGTGCTTTAACATTTCCTTAGGACTTCTCTATGCAGTCCCAGGTTGTGATGTGCATTGGCAGAGTGAGTTCTCACTCTGGGAAGTCATGGATATCATATCAAGAATTCCTGTATTCTTAACAATTCAAATATGAGAATGCTATTCAGGGACTTTGCTAACTTTATTTAAAGAGCTAGACAAATATCAGCTATCACTAGTTGTAGCAGTAGATAATGATACTAATGGTTATACGATTAGTAGAAATAGTATCCCCATTTTATAGAGGAAGAAATATAACACTCATGTTAAATGAGTTGCTTAGGGCTACAACAGCTGCTATCAATACTAGGCCTCAAATCTTCTTCTGACCGTAAGACCAATGCTCTTTTCATGAAGAATTTTTAATGATGTAATAATTTTAGATTTTATTCCTTAAATTCAACTGGGAGACACTTAGCACTCTGAATTTGTGGCAACTTTAAAATAAACCCAAGGATGAAATCAAGTTGTGTTTTGTTTTTAATAAAAATGTGTTTTTTTCTATCCTAAGGAAGTGGAATCTATGCCCCAGAGGCAGTTAAAGTTTATTACTATGACATGGAAACAGAAAGTGGCCAGCTATTGCTATCAGAACTGAAGTCACGGCCCCGAATTTCTTCCAACTACCCTACAGTGGTAGATTGGAGTGCCTATGCCAAAAGTGTCAAGCCATCCATTTCTGATCAGCCAAGCTTCCCTGGAATTCTCTTTTTTGATGAATTTACCTTCATTGAACTTACTAAAGATGTAGGAAATTACACGGTTTGCCAGAAAGACCTCTGCTGTCACTTGAGCTACAAGATGTCTGAGAAAAGAACTGATGAAGTCTATGTACTAGGGGCTTTTGATGGCCTTCACACTGTTGAAGGGGGATATTATTTACAGGTGATATTACTTTTAAAAATATCTGGAATGGATTTTGTTTTGACTAGATTATCTTCATTCTATAGAGCATATTACATATTTTTAAAAGTGTGCTGAATTTAATGAACAAAAGAAAATTTCTACACATAAAGTAGAACAGAAAAAGAGAACTGTATATGAAACTTTTTTTATAATGAACATTTTGCTTTTTTAAAAAATATCTAATAAATTCAACATGTAAGTCTCAAAACTGTCCTGCCTATCTGCTTTCTTCTGAAATTCCTTTTGTTCTCTTCTGTTCATTAAAAAATGTTTCAATGATTCCCCTATATTTCTTTTTCTTCTTTTTTAATTTGGGCAACATTATTGACAACTTCTTTCCCAAACCTGCTCTGCCCCATAAGGAAAGGAAGAAAAATAATCATTGTAGCAAATAAGCATAGTCAAACAAAACAAATCCATACATTTGCTATATCCAAGAATATGCGTCTCATTCTGCACCTTGATTCCATCATCCTTCTGTCAGAAGGGGGATAACATGCTTCATAATTAGTCTTCTGGAATCATTAGGGGTCATTTGAATGATCAGAGTCCTTAAGTTTTGCAAAGTTGATTGTCTTTGGCAGTATTGTTAGAGGATAAATAATGATAATGGTTGAATAAGTTCACAACTCCACCAACAATGCATTAGTGTTCCAATTTTCCCACATCTTCTCCAACATTTATCATTTTCTTGTTTTGTCACGTTAGCCA